TCCTATGGCACTCACTACCCTCAACGCTCAACAATGGCAGGACATTATGTCACCGGTTCTCCAGGTGTGCTTACCTAAGTCAGGTGTTTGCCGCAACTTTCCCCGTTTGGTGGTCTTTGCCCCGGTGGATTATCAAGGCCTTGGTGTTCCTCATCCCTTTGGCAAGCAAGTGTACAAACACTTGGAGATGATCCTGCGCCATATGTCGGGGGGTACAAAGACTGGAGCCTACATGGACGCCAATCTCCAGGCTCACCAACTGGAAACCGGTACCTCCTTTGGTCTTCTACAGCAAGATTACCAGAATACATCCATTCTTGCTTCTGATACCTGGCTTAAAAGGGTATGGAAGGAGCTTGAATCTCTGGATATGTACGTGGCCTTTGACTCTCCGGCCCTATCTTTAAGGTGTCATCATGACGCCCTCCTGATTGACTAGTTCATTGATCTTGAGGTTGATCAGGACGACCTTCTCTGGCTTAACTGGTGCCGGATGTTCCTGCAATGACTCAGACGATGACTCTTCTGACGACAATCCCAATGAATCCTCTGGCTCTAAAGGCGGCCAATTCACAGAAGTTTGGTCTAAGAAGGCGGCAACAAAGGTGAAAAAGAAGGCAAAGGAGAAGAAGAAGTTGATCACTGATAATGAGAATCCGTTCCTTAACGATCTCTCCCCAGCCCAACGGAAAATGGCTGAAGTTGCTGACCGTAAGCTGAAGAATGATCAGGTGCGTCACAAGCCCGGTCCGCTCTTCTTGATGGTTCTACCAGGCGAGATGGAGGGCACCTACATCCTGGTGTGTCGCGAGAAGTTTAAACAATTGGCTCGTAACGTCTTGAAGGGCTTGGTCCCTTTTCTGACTCATCACCTGTATGAGCCAACTCTGACAAAAACCGATCAAGCCCTCCGTAAATGGGTGCCGCAATCAGAGATTAGTATGGCTCAACGTAAGAACCTCAAATGAAGCACAAATACACTTTGTGCTGTGGAGGCTACCGCCTCGCCAGACGCAGTTGAGGAAGCACTGGAGTTTCTGGATAATGTGATGGAAGACGCAACGGATGTCTACGATGGTCAACTTTCGATTGATTTAGATATGGCTAACAACAAAGACATTGATGATGGGAAGATCGTGACGGGAATGATGGACAAGATGCAGGAACCGGAGCAACAACTGGAAGATGCCTTCAATGAGATTGAGATTTGGGACAATGCACTGGAGGCTCAGGAACGCGCCTTGGCACAACAACGTGCGGACAATGCGGCACTGCAAGCACAGCTCGCTGCCCTCTAGAGTCAGGCCAGCCATCTACCTACCATGATGAGTCAGCCATCTCCCACTCTACCCCACAACAATCGCGTGTCTCCTGACCGTCAAGCATTGACTCCACTGGTCAGATCCAGCAACAAAACCTTAGGCAAGTCATCCACCAGGCAGAGCACCATGGTTCCCAACACAGTGACACAACCAAAGAAGGCCACCAAGCAGGGCAAGCCACCAAACCAACCAGCCAAGAAGGCCCGCACAAGTGCAGGTGTCCAATTTCAGGAACCATCTTCTGCCCAACCCTCGGCGGCCTTGGCTGTTCAAGTAGGCATGTCTTCATGGAAGGAGACAACACTACTGCCGCGTCTCAAGATGAGAGTCAAACCTCATCTCTTACTGCGTCTACTCCGCGAGGTGGAGGGTCTCCATTCTTCTCTCCTCCTCCTGGGAAGGCGCACAGTGATGGCGCCAGTAAATCCTCTCGGTCCGCCTGCGGAGCTCCCTGCTCCGCGGAGGGGCCATGAGAGGCCCACAATCATCTGCAGCTAGGTCACGGCGTGCAGGCAGAAGATCCCGTATTAGTGGCCCGTCAAGTGGAGTCTCCCATGCTTCACTTGACAAATATTTTACGTTCTCTTCCAGCAGGGGATTACTCTGGCGATGATCACCGCCGTCATTCCTCACTGGCTACTCGAATCTGTTTCCAGAATGTCAACGGATTACCAGAAAATGGCAATGACTCCAAGCAGCAACAGATCACCTCCTGGCTGAAGGAAGAACGAGTGGGAACTGCGTTGTTGGCCGAGGCCAAGACGTTTTGGCCTTCTATCAATGAAGGTCACGGTTGGAGTGACAGACTCCGCCAAGCTACGATGAAGTCCGAGCAAAAAGGGTTTTGCTCGTTGGTAGCTTACAATCGGCATCAGGACAGATCTGCTGCCACCTTGGCGGTACAATGGGGCGGGTGCATCCCAACCGTTTTGAACCGAGTGACGCACAGGGCTAAGGAAGCTGGCAGAGACCCCACGGGTTTAGGACAATGGGTCTATGTTTGTCTCCAAGGAAGGAAGGAAGTTGAAAGCCCATGGGGGTAATGTTCAGGACTCTTTGATTGAGGTAAATGACTTAGTTTGTGGTCCGATCTCCAAGGACTTGGTGGTGGTCTCCGCATATTGTCCGAACAAGCAAATCTCGGTGGATCTACAGTATGGGCACAACACAGGCTTCACTTTCATGCAGTGAATCAAAAAGTTGATCGAAGGAAAGCCTTTGTGGACAATCTTTGCAAACAGATTACCAAATGGCGTGATGAAGGATGTGAGGTGGTTTTGGGTATAGATGCAAACGAGGATGTCACTGTTAACGCACCCCAGTCTATCCGCCACCGCTTCCGGGCCTGCGGTCTTGAGGAGGCGATCCTACAACACCATCCACCACAAGCGACCCACCAGCGCAACCAACGGAACATTCCGATTGATGGTATCTTCACCACTTTGGGCGTACCAATCCTTGCGGGTGGGTACTACGCCTTTGACGAATTCTTCAATTGCGATCATTGCGGCTTGTGGATTGATATTGATCTTTCCGCCTCCTTGGGGAACTTCCAACCTCAGAAATCCAAATTCAAGCCACAGAAGTTGTCCCTCCAAGACTCTCGATCTGTATGCAAATATCTTCAATTGGTTCACAAAGGTTATGCCAAGTACTCCATCCCGGAGAGATTGAATAAGCTGAATAAGCGTATTGACCACCTGGGACACCAAATGACCCCTTCCTTGGTGCGCAAATACAACTGTTTACACAGACAAATGTATACTGTGAAGCGCCAGGCGGAAGAGAGGTGCCCGGCCTTAGCTCCAGGTAAAGTTCCCTGGTCACCAAAAATGCAGG